ATTGACTCCAGACTGTCCAAAACTCAGCTGCCAGGCTTTTAACCAGAACAGAGAAATATGACCACATTACTCCTGTTTTAGTTTCATTACACTGGCTCCCAGTATGTTTTAGAATTGACTTTTAAATTTTATTGATCACTTTTAAAGCTCTTCATGAACTCTAGCCATGCTATCTCTCTGACCTTTTAGTCCCATATGCACCAGCACGTACCTTGAGATCCTCGGGCAGAGGTCTGCTGTTTGTTCCAGAGTCTCAACCGAAAACTAAAGGGGACAGAGCGTTTGCTGTCAGGGCCCCGAGGCTCTGGAACAGCCTGCCCGAGGAAATCAGGTCGGCTGAGTCAGTGAACTCTTTTAAGTCCCTTCTTAAAACATACTTTTATAGGAGAGCCTTTCCCGATTTAATTTTACTTTATTTTATTCTATTTTATATATTTTTATTTTCATTTTAAACATGAATTTTAGTCTCTTAAGTGTTTTCTTGTTTTTTTAATGCATTTGTTTTTATGGATTTTATTGTCTTAGCACTTGTTACAGCACTTTGTAACTTGTTTTTGAAAAGTGTTTTATAAATAAAGATTAGATTAGAATATAAAATTATTATAACTTTATGTGCATGTATAACACTTTTCCTCACATAGTTACAACATGCTTTAACAAAGGATGAGAAACAGTGACACACTTTTACAGTAAAAAGTAAATAGAGATAAATTAGATACAAACAACTGACAAAATAATATATGTCAGTCAAATCTGTGAATTGAACAACAGAAGTGGAGCTCTGACCTAGGTATACACAAAACCTGTGTTGTTATGGTAAAAAAGTTTTCAAGGGTCCTGATACACACACACACACACACACACACACCAGTGAAAAACATCATACTTCTTTCCCACCCCAAACATACATCTTATTTTGCACAGAGGAAGTAGTTGAAAGTAGTAACTGAAAATGTGCCACAGTTGAGTATCTGTGGTCAACCCTTATCTGTAGTTTTTTCCGTCTGTGTCACTGTTGCTGCTGCTGGGAAACTCCATCCGTTTTACACATAAAGGCCAGTTTACTTGTCAGTACTAACCAGTGAACGCAGTTGTTTACAGTCTTGTGTGGCTCTGGAGGAGCTGGACATCATAATAATGTGATGTATAATGTAATCGGCTTAAGACAGAAAGCCTGTGTTACAAACTGGGGTTGTGAAGTTTGAAAGATGTGGGTGTTTACCAGGCAGAAAGGCTCTAATGAAAGATGCTGCTTTGACTATGACCATTTGTTTAACCTCTCTCTCTCACAAGTCCTCCAACTTTATCCCCTTATGGAAGAACATGGAAGAATCACTGGAGTGACCCTTTATGGTGGCTGTTAGCCTCAATCTACACACAGGCAGTTGACCAGAGAGCTCTGTGATCGGCTATTGAGCCTAGTGGGTCAGTTGTTTTTACACATTTTGTGCATTTGATCTGTGCCATTTCTTTTCTTCTTCAAAAGATCGCCCACAGCGATCAAATCTCACGGATCCAGTGGCAGTTGCCACTTTTCACAACACACATTTTCCATTTGTAGTAGACACTTATGGTATGAAAATGGTTGGTTAGTTTGTGCCTCCCCGCGATGTTGACACCTCTGTGTCTTCTTTCCTATTTTGGGTAAAATACACTGACTGCTGCTTCTCGATATGACCTGTAGTTTCCTCTCATGCTGGGGCTGAGATCACTGTAGCAGCTGCGGTCTTTGCAGTATGTGTAAATGCATCTTGAACAGAGGAAGTGAGAGACCATATGCAACACAAAGTGTCTCAAAGTAGGCTTTGTATTTCAGGGCCTAGATATGTCGGTTCAAGTTCCTCATGTTGACATACAATTACACTACCACTCTACTGAGCAGGAAGCTGAATCCTTTCCAGCTACAAGGATGCTTCATTGTAATACAAGGGATGGTGATGGCACATAGATAAGATGCTTGCCTTTGGTGTAGGAGACCTTGGTTCAATTCCCCCTATGAGGCTGTGATGCAAACTTGCTTTTTACAGCGTTGCCTTGAGATCAGAGAGTGTCATTATATGTACCTGACCACTGGGTGAAATGTTCAACCCACCTGCAACATTTTGTGTTTCAAAGGTTTAAAGTTTCAGCTGCACAAACACTTTTTAGCAGAAAGTTTCGTAGGACCCAAATAAAATATAAAACTTAGACTCACTATGATCTGAACACCCCCATTGTCAGTATGTCTCACTTGGTCTCCAGGGGATTTGAACCCTGGAACTTCAGATGAGAGACTAATTCTGTACACCTTCTCACAAGTTGAGGTAGTCACTCACACATCAGTTTGCTGGTTTTGGGTGTGTTGTCAATTATTCTGGTGGCATTTGATCCAAAACTGAGCAAAAAAGAAAATGTTGTGCATACTGTACAAATAATTTTTTTCCCAGATCTTGGAAGGAAAAACATCTTTGATTTTTGCTTTATTCAAGTTAGAAGAAATACCTTATTTATGTTCTACTCAATATGTTGGTCAAAGACAGCTCCTAGGTATTCAGAGGCTCACTCACGATTTGCTGTGAAGTGACCAATATACTGATGTATTTTTACGGAATTTTTCTCAGGGCCTATGATGAGGACTTCTGTTTGGTGAGGTTGGAGGAAGTTATCTGACATCCAGTTTTTGATAGCTGTTAGGCACTCTTACAAGATGGAGAGTTTAGTGAGACGAAGTTGTCAGCTGAGTGGCTATTGAGAGTGAGAGAACAGGTAATAATTTGATAGACTGGAGTCAGAATGAAAAACAAATGAAAAACAAAATCAAAAATAATTCACTTGTGTACAGACATGAACGTATACAGTAATACGGTTCAAACCAAAAGAGCAACTGTATCAAGAGTATGACCATGATTGTGGGTTGGCCCTGATAGATATTGCGTTAAAATAAAAGACTGAGTTATGCTGTATTAGGATCATGTTTTCATATGCGTGAAGGTGCGCTGTAAGGGTACTTCATTATCACATACACACATACAGCGAAATTCATTCTCTGCATGTAACCCATCCCTCAAGGGAGCAGTGGACTACCACTGTGCAGCGCTCGAAACCAACTCCAGATCTGTGCAAGTGCTACTGGTCAGTGGCACTGACTGGAGAACCTAACAGGTTTTTGATCACCGGAAAGGATGTTTTACTCTCTTATGGTGCTCCAACACCGATTTGATCAGGTAGGTTAGTCTATCACTGTCTTAGCTTTGCTATTATGACTTATCTGTCTGGTTTTATTTAATTTTTGTGTCGACTGTGCAGTGCATTTTGCTGTGCCTGGTCATTTTAAAGCTGCGCGATTTCATTCCTTTAATTTAATACTGACATTATGCTATTTGATTGTGACCATCTTGCACTGGGACCCCGAGCCAACTCGTTACGCCCCTGACTGAACCCCATGTGGAATATTAGTAGACAGCATATGACTCACATTTGACTCATCTCACTTGTTCGGATGAATCCCATTTCTTTTGGAGAGAGAAGCACAATCCCAGAAAAAGTTAAAATTAGAGATAAAATCTATTTTGTGAGACGTGTAACTACACGTAGCGGCAATGCAGACCGCACTGTGATTGGTTGGCTTGGTAGCATCACATTTCCTCCTACGGATTTCCTGCTTGTCCTACTTCACCACTCTTCTCTCGTTTCTGTGTAATTTCCCTGCTGTTCAACATCAATAAGCTCCAACTTCAACATGATCCGCTCAGTTTCAGTTGCCATTGTTTGTTGTAGCCTACACCAACAAAAACAGTGGCTAAACCCAAAACAACCCAAAGAAACTGGAACATAAACAGTGGAACATAAAAACCCCATCACCAAGGTTTTGGCGGTGTAATTGACCCTTCACCAAGCCACCAAAAATTGTCGGACCTGTCGGACTTTTAGCATGGTTCTGGCACTGTCTATTACTGCTTTCCCTGGAGAAAAATTGTCTAATTTCTGGAAAAATTTAAAAAGCGATCTCAGAAAGGAGACAGAAAGGTTTCCATTATACATTTCAAGGTTGTTTTCAGGCTGTCAGACTGATGTGAAACAAATAAAGGAATAAATTGTACTTCTCCTTTCAACCTCTCTGGGTAGTGATTGTAATTATTACAAGTGAACATGAACCCATGAACAGCGTTTGACCATATCTTGGTAAAATAAAAAAAAAGCTAGAAAACGACGCCTTTTGCATACGAGTCAATGGAGCGCAGCCTTGAAAGTGTCGGACCTCAGTTAGAGCGAGACCTATACTGCGCTGTGATTGGCCAGCTCCATATTCAGGGCATGGCTTAGTGAAGGGTCAATTGCAGAGACACCGAAGCACAATTATTAATGCTCACGGCGTAGGGTCTACTGGACACAGTAGTATAAGTATAAATTGGCCTTAAGGATACGGCTAAAGCTAACAACTTTATTACGTTTATTCTAGGCACATATTTAAACATTTAAACACAAAAATACCACCCCTTTTTAAAAGGCCTTTCCTTAACTTTGTATCAGATGCACACATTTTCTACACTTTTCACTACAGATTTGACCAATGATCCTCATCAACTCCATCCACCTCTCTCTTTCAATTAAATAATGCTTTGTCACCCTCTCCTGAGGCTGAATAAGGGGTTGTATTCACCTCACGGATGTCCCTCTTTATGTGTTTGAGCTTAACAGGACGCTCCGTACAGACGCTCTTGGACACAGCAAACGCCGGCCACAGAAGTTATGAATAGGGGGCTCTGTGGTGCCCCCTAAAAGAGTGTTTCTGTGTGAGTGTGTGCGTGCGTGTGTGTGTGTGTGTGTGTGTATGTGTGTGTATGTGTGCGTGTGTGTGTGCTGCAGGGGGTGGTCTGTTGGCCTTGATTGCATTTGTGGAGAATGTGCATGTGAGGTCCCAAACATGTGCATTCATCTGTGTGTGTGTGTAAGTTTCTGTGCACAATTTATGGACATTTAGTTGGGAAGTAAGGGAAAGATGCAACAAGAAATGCAACAAAACATGATGGAGAAAAAAAAAAGTAATATTTTGAAACTCATTCTTTCAGGATTTACAGTATCCTTTTGTGGTCTCTCATTTTATTCTGGTACTGAATTGAAACCTGGGGGGAGTGGCGATCAATTATTACAGCAATTACACAGACGTGAGCAGGAATTCAGGAGTGAGGGAAAGAGAGACAGAGGGAAAGAGTAAAAGGAAGAAAGAGAGAGAGATGCCTCTTATAAAGCCAAGTCCTGTCTCTTCAGGAAGAATTTGCGAGCAGTGAGACCGGGCTTTGGGTCAGAAACAGGAGCCCGGTGAGCCAATGACTGTCACCATAATTCTACTCAATGGTGTATCAATGTCGTGGGACGCAGGCTGCTGAAGTTACCCTTCCTGCAGAATTACAGTCCCAGTTGTGTCGCGTGAGCATGCGTGTAACAACAAAGCAGACATGTGGACGAAAGGCTGAAGCTCTGGGCTCCCACCTCCTCTTTGCACGAGTCAATTAGATTGCAATTCCAGTGGAAAAGGTAAGCAAACGAAAACACCTCAGAAATAAATAAAGAAAAAATAAATTTTTTTTGTATATATACATATATATACATATGTATTTGTTTCTTAAATTAAGAAATGAAAAATCTTAAGGTAAGTTTCTCATTTGTTCCTACCTGTTTAATGACTTACATAGAAAGGAAATATGCATATTGTGATAAAGAACTCAGATTTGTTCGTTTATGTTATGTTTAATTTATTATGAACTTATTTTGAACTTTCACATAACCCACATTACATTGAAGGGATAATGTTCCTTTTTCTAGACAGCGGAAAATCTCTAAGCAAATAAGCAAATTACACGACAGTAAGTAGCATTAAAATGATGTAAGCTACATGAAATTTAGGTGATGAAAAAAGCAGATATTGGTTGTTTTCCTCATGATGACCACTGACAGGTCAAAGCTCACAGTTGACCTGTTTATTTATAGCTGCATAATGGACTGTGGCAAGTTTGAAGCTGTCCTATAAATAATTGTTAGAGTGTGGTGCAAAGTTTCACAGGATGCACCTCCACATGTGATAACAACAGGACCTTTAGAGATGAATGAAGCTGAGTTCATTATAAAAATCTTGTCAGCGTTCACGTCCAATCAGATCATCTGATTTTAGAGCATTTGACAAGCATAGTAATGAAATTTACAGTATGTATTCTCCAAATGCAGCAAAGAAAATAGAAGAATGCTGTAAAAGTTGTGAATAAAAATTAAATTGAAGGCAACATGCGTGAGATGAGGCCAATGGTTACTGAAAAAACTGACATTTCTTTGGTGCTTGCTTTAGTGCTCTTACTGAGCAGTTCGCTGCAATATAGTAAGCATATTATATAGTATATAGTAAATAACTCATTAGGCTTAAATGTGTTTTTATCCCCAATGATTGTGTGCAGTGTTAGTGTGTTTCAGTCTTCAAATTAAACCAATAAAGTGATCAAGAAGTGATATATGCTTCCTTAAGAACCCTTTACTTTCTTACCTTAAATTAGTACTTTGAACAACTTTTGCCATCTATTATGTAAATAACTTCACTACATCCCCATCACTACCAGAGTGTTACATTGTTGAGTAGCTGTCCTATACCTGACTAACAACAGGTTTTTGGTTTCTGGTACCAGGAGGAATAGGTATTGAAGAAATCTGATACATGAACTGTAAAAATCAGTAAAGCAGCAGGAAAAAGAGAGAGAAACAAGATGATGATGAGATGGAGGATACATTTCTGTTAAACAAATGTTTACATATTAAGTGATTTGGGTTATTGGGTTATTTTTTAAAATTGTTTTTAAATAATGTTTCAATGTGGGGTTCATTCTGATGTATTGAAATTATTTAAAGCAGAAAAAAGGAAAGAAAGAATGAAAAGGGGGTAAGAGCGAAACAAACTGATGGGGGGAGTGTGTGTGTGTGTGTGAGGGGGAGACAGAGAGGCAGAGATGGGGGGGATTACTCCTCACTCCAGAATACTAACGAGGGCCTTTTGTCACAGATCTCTTTCTCTCTCCCGTCCTCTCTTCCGTCCTCTCGTTTTTCCTTTCAGTCATCTCACACACAAACACACATACATGCATACAAAATCACACATGTACGCCTACAGTTACACACACACACACACACACACACGCACACAGATGCAGAAATACTCATGTAATTGCAATCCCACTCTCACATAATCACACACACACACACACGGATGGGCACAGAGTCGATTTTGTCAATGGTGTCTTTTGTTTCTTTTATCTCAGCTCCAAACAAAGCATTCCTGTGTACACAGAGGAGAGAGAGAAGGAAGGAGAGAGAGGAGGATCAGGAAAACATTCAGCGCTCCTTTGTTTGGCAAAAGAAAAAGTTTTGATTCAGTTTTGGATTGGGCTCACTGAGGCAGGGCAGTACAGTAAAGTTGTCGCGTTGCCATGGAGATGGAATACATCCTATTGGAGAGGTTGGTCAAAAATATTTCACTTTCATTTACTCCCATTTGCTCTATTAGCGATCTGTTATACGCCTGTGGGTGTTTTCCCCGGGACATGCGAGTGTGTTTGAGTGTCAAGAGAAAATTGGGCGAGAGGGTGAAGCAAAGTTGAAAGAGTGAAGTTTTCAATGGTGTCATTGTAATTAAGAACCTTCTGAGGGGCTCACCCTTGCATAATCACAGAAGTGTGATGTAATTGAAGCAGATTGGTTATGTAATCCATGATCAGCATTGCATAGAAGCTATTTTGATTTACACTATGTGGCCAAAAGTATATGGACACCCATGTCTTCATACTTGTGGGCAGTTTTTTCTGTTAGTTTGGGCTAGGTCCTTTAGTTCCAAATAAGGGACGTCTGAATAATATTTTTGCACCCGTGCAGAAAGTGAGGTCTGATCTGCACAGAGCCCTGACCTCCAACCCCTTTGAGATGGAATGAAACACTGACTGCAAGCCAGGCCTTAATGATGGAAAATAATTTCAAGACATTTTAATTTAAAATACATTTAGCCTACTTATTTATTTTGGCTTGTGACCTCTTGCATAAAAATCAGTTTCTGGTTATGGGCCCCGTGTCCATTTCAGATGTTTGGAGTGTGATGTTTTTCGTCATTTCACCAAACATGGATTTCCCCCTTCTGATGTTTTTAGTTAAATAATAGTTTGAAGTCAGAAGAAATAAACTTATCCTCTATTTCACAAAAAGCAAAGATAAGAGAAAAGTCCAAAAATGTATTAAAATTTGTTTAGCTAAACTTTTTTCTTCTTTTCAAACCCATTCACTGTCTCATGAACTCTGGACTGCTGGATACACAACTTAATATAAATGCTGCTTAAGCACTGATTAGTATAACAATCTAATAATGTAATATATAATAATTTATCAGTCAAGGGATGTTTTCTGCAGAGGTACCTCTGATACTTTAAATACTGTATATTTGTCTGATTATATTTTTGTGCTTTTATTTAAGTAAGATTTTGAATACAAGACTTTTGCTTGTAATTAATTCTTTTTACAGTTTTGTGTTGGTACCTGCACATTAGTGGTTCTGAGTACTTCCTCCACCACTTCTTATCACCCACCATCATCACCTCATGATTATGTAGCTGAATGGGAGCAAATCGCGGCTGAAACCAGGAGAGGGGAATCATGTGACGTTCGGATGTCCATATCCTTTTGGCCCTGTACTGCAATGTTAACAACTTGTCAGGTGGAATTCTGTGTTTTGCATTAATGTGCATGAGAAAGAGAAACAGAGAGACCTTGTGAGGATCCAGAGTATAAAGTAGCAAAAAAACACCTGAGAGAAAGATTGTAAAAGGATCGCTGAGCCAGGCTGAAAAAAAGTCCTGAGCAGGGCATATAAAAAGCCAAACTTTGGTCCTTTTCTTACCAAACCCTTATCGCCGCCTCCAGTTACCAGTCAGAAGTTCACTCTTTGTCCACTAAAGGCCTCTCTGGTAAGAATCAACAGTAAAGCCTTTAAAAAAAAGCAGCATCTAGATAAACGTGTTTCGAACAAAGATTTTTTTTACCTTAATTGATTCATTCAAGTTTGTCCTCTCTCCTCCAGCTGACAAATGAGACTCTGTGCGGACAATTTGCAGGGTTAATGCAGTACATCTTCATCTTCCTTCTTTTCTCTTTCCTCTTCCTTATCATCTTCTTTTGTGGGTTATCCTCTCCCAACTGGCCTACATGGTTTGTTGGATGTAAGTGAGCGTGTCGTGTGTGTGGAGATACAGTAACTGTCTGTCTGTGTGTGACAGGGGTGGACTGCATCTGAATGTTCTGACAAGGCCACACATTCATGCAGTCATTGCACAATGTACAGCACTAAAAACACATATAATACTGTTATTACTTTACAGAGCCTATAATTCTCCATGTAAAAAACTAATTGTCTGGATAACAGTTTAGGTACACAGTTTTTGTTTCCATTCACATTCAAGTAAATGCAAAAAAATCATACTAACATGCTCACCATGACATTTGTTGAGATTAGATTAGATTCAACTTTATTGGACAAGTACTGAGAAAAGAAAGACAGTTTGGCATCCAACCAGAAGTGTGAACTGCAGAGTAATTTGCATATATATAAAGGTAATTGACAGTGATGGGTCGATATTTAAAAAGATATTTACAGTATGAGCATTTGTAGCAGTTACAGTAGGCAGTGCTGTAATGTATAGATGTGAATATATAATGCAGGAGTATGTACAAGTAATGTTAATATTAGACATACACAAAATAAATATGTGACGACAATATATGCAGTTTGTATAAATATATTTTTGGCAAATAAATAGCACGTAACATATAGGTAAGTGTATGTGCAATAGAGTGGCAAGTGCGTGGGAGCCAGCCACCAGTGTGGGAGTCATAGTGCAAACGTCTCGGGGAAGATGTGAGTGGTGGGGGGAAACAGAGATCAGTCTTTAGAGGAAAGGGGTAGGGGTCAGGTGTGGAGGGGAAAAAGTTCAGTCATTGGCAGAAGGTGTGTGTGGGGCTCACTTTCTTAGTTCAGTATGTTAGCAAGTTAACATATTTTAGGACCACGAGTCCTGTGCATTTAAATGTTTCTCTACTTATCCCACCTCAGAGTTTCCTTGTTTGTCTTGTTTGGTTTTGGTTCGCATGTTTTCTTCAGTGGTTCTCAAACTGGTGACAACGACGCACTAGACGCTGATAAAATGTGTCATGGACATAATGTGTTATTATGCTATTAATAGTCATTATTTTCTGAATCTGTTTTTTAATTAATTTTCCCAGCCTCTAACCTACTTATTTTTTTTTTCAAGCCCTATACTGAAAAGAGAAAATCAAGTCTTGTCATTAGCTGTATCATATAAAAAAAACAAACAGTGGTTTCTGGAAGCGGCAATTGCTTCATATTTGTAAGGTGTTTGAAACCAATTGGGAAACGCCTGTTCTTCCTCTTACAGCTGTGGACGGAGAACTGTCAAAATCAATTGAAAAACTCCACACTTCTCGGAACATAGTAACTTCTTTCCCTTGTCTCTAAGCTTGTCACTTCTTCTAGTATATATTTTCACTGAGGGAAAACTAAGAGACTGAGTATGCTTCAAACAAATGAAACAGTCTGAGTCTGAAATCTCCCAGACATTTCCCATGATGTAATGGGGACACAAATATTGTAAATTTTCAAAAACAACAATACAGCAAGCATGACCCCTTCACACATAGGCCAGGTGTAGAGATGAAGAAGTGGGCAAGAATTGAACTTCTCTTTTTTGTTCTTTGCTACTTACATCACTTTTGACATGTACGAAAGCTCTCAAGGAGAGATTGTCCAAAATATGGGCATCATTATTCAACAATTTATCGTGTCTCGCCAGTCTACAGTATATGACATGGTGGACACCTTGTACCATGTAGTTTGTTTTAAGAGACTTTAATGCTCTAAGAAAGCTATGTTTTTTTGTTGTTTTTTTAGCCTCGATTGACAGTTCCCCCAGCCTATTAGAATCAGCTGTGGTTGTACTTGACCCACCACATTTGACTCCAAAGTATACTGAGATGGCATTGAGTATATTTCCTAAAATCTGCAGGGATCAGAAACACTTTCGAAATATGGCAAGACAAAAGATTGAGATCAACTCTTCATGAGTGTGACTACCTCAGGAAAGTCCCATTATATTTCCACCACATTTCAACTGAAAAATTGCCAGAATAATTAAAAACACTTGCGTGGGCGTAGATTTGTTTTGACTTGTTTTGCTGATTAAAATTGTGGTTTCCTGCTTTGTAATTTAAAGTAACAGTTTTACTTGTCTGTTAGTTGTTTTGTTTAATTTAGCTACACATTTTGAATATAATAAAGTAACAATAATAATAAGGTTTGGTGTTAAGTATTTGTAGATTCTCTTTAGGTGAATTCCACTTTTAGAATGAGAGCAGGGGAAGTTGCTGAAACCTACAGTCATCATGGGCAGTTTCTAGGAAGTCACCATAATCATAGTCAGATCATGAGGTATGAAGATATCAAAAAAGGCTTATTTGTGTTTTAAACTTTCTTTCAGTAAGCTTATTACCTCTCAGTCCACCCCAAACTAATCCCAAATGAGCCTATTAACACCACTGCCCAGTTAACAAGTAAATGAGAGAAATGATTTGACTCCTTTTTCTTTATTATTCACCAGATGACCTCTGCCACACCTCCCTCCTCTCGTAGCTCCTCCCCTCAGAAGGTTTGCCACTCCCAGACACAGACAGATGTTTTAAAACCCTTACTGGGAGGTGGCATATCCGGCGTGGGCGGGTCTCTGAGGAAGAGGAGGCGTGTCCTGTCCAAAGATGGCCGTAGCAACGTACGCATCGAGCACGTCAGCGGGCGGAATGCGCTATACATGCGTGACCTCTGGACAACATTTCTGGACATGCAGTGGCGCTACAAGTTCTTCCTGTTCACAGCCACGTTTGCAGGGACCTGGTTCCTGTTTGGGGTACTGTGGTATCTGGTGGCATTGGTGCATGGAGACCTTCTTGGTGAGAGAGGAAGCGGGCAGGGTCCTAAGTTAACAGATCACAAGTTAATGCGGGTGGTTAAGCCTCTTCCCAGATAAACAGTTTTCACTGTGTGGGTCAGAGCAGAAATCTCAAATCTGAGATAATTACACCTCAACAATAAAATGTAAACTATCTGCAGAGAGGTGAGTGACTATTGAAATATAGCTAAACAGACCCTTTAACTCAGTCAGACCTTTTGACTTCAAATTATCTCCCCAAACAATAAAAGCAGTTTGGTGGTCAAACAATGATATGCTTAAGAATAACTTAACACTGAGCAGTTGCCAACGTATACCGGTGCAAAATACTACAGTTATATGGCTTTCAACATTACGTTAACAGCCAACAAGATCCATATTACACCGGTATTAGTTACAAGTGTTGATTTTAGCCTGCAAGAAACAATATAATGTTACAAAGCAAATGTGGAGCGATGTGTTTATACTAACTTAGCCTATAGTGATGCAGGGCAGGGGCAACCATCTACCTGAGCACAGATTTACCGCTGTTCATATTGTTCAGTTTAGATTTTTGTCATTTTACTGATAAAAATATTACTGTAACGTGAGTTTCCACCATGTTGTGGGAAACTGTTACACAACATGCTGGACACAAAAAATCTGACACTCTCCCAGTGTGGGACGCGTATGGTACGAGCACACACCTGGTTGCAATTTAAAAACCCCACCGCTAGTGGCCACTTTATTACTAAACTAAATTTAGTAGATCATTTGTACCATCATTTTATTACATCCATTACTACAGATCCTGGACCTATTTTAATTAATATTAATTAATTAACAGATTTTATTATATTGTTTCCAGAGAAAATCCAGTAATTCTGTCCAGTTGAAGCAATTAAACAAAGAAAATTAGCAAAAAGTCTAAGACATACCCCAGGACACTCCACCCCAGAACTACAAGGCAACATCATATCACATCCTGCCACACCCCCGACAAGTACAGCTGTCAACTGTCCTTAGTGTGGACAGTACGGAAGACTTGAAATTTGTGTTAGAGTTCGATTGTGTTTTTCAATTTGCGAAGGTGGTGGGTTCCATCTTAAACAGGGTGTTGCTCTAAGTACTGGGTTGTAGCTCGTTATGAGTCAAGTAAAATAAATGATTCATAACAAAGGTATTAAGAGGCAAGTGATGACTTTGAAAGCTAACATGCCATCTGAATTCTCGATATATTCATGGCTAGAGCCCAGTGTTAACATTTGGCTGCTACACTGGCAGTTTAACCACATAATCAATGGAGTTAGTATTTGTGAATAAAATGCCTTATGCCTTGCCTCGATTTTGCTGAAGTTTTAAAAACAAGTTCTCAAGCTTAAAGTGTCAGAATCTTTTGCCTGTTGCACAGGATGACTTATTACCAAACCGCTGTTGGTGTGACTTGTTTTCATACCTTATGTGCAGTAAATATAAAGTGTTACAGTGGTGGTTACAGGGGTGGCTAGAAACTGCTGTCTTCAATGAAACCATGTCCTTTCAATGTTTTATTTAATTGTATGTATATGAAGTACTTTGTAATTGAATTTTAACAGGTGCTGAATCAAAAAGGTAATACAAACCATATACAGTAAGACTAAAATAAATGCCATGGGCTCCGTGTCTTTGCAGCCCTGCATATCTATGTGTACACTTTCATTAAGGGTGAACATATTCGTGAGCTCAAACTAACCGATATGATAAAACATGGCAGGAAATGATCTCTTTTCATCAATAATACATCTGTCATCGCCCACTTCCTCTAATGGGACTCATGCTTACAATGTGCTCAACCGCGTGTGATACAGGAAGTCTCTGAGGCAGACACTGCATCCTATAATAAACCTGCGTGTGAGAAATGAAAAAACAGCATTAAAATAAATTCAGTGAGCTCTTGTTGCCTTTTCAACCATATACCTCCAGAGTTCGACCCTCCATCAAACCACACGCCCTGTGTGATGCAGATGCAGACCCTGACGGGGGCTTTCCTCTTCTCTCTGGAATCTCAGACAACCATTGGTTATGGTTTCCGATGCATCACTGAGGAATGTCCAGCTGCCATCATCCTCCTCATCGTCCAGCTTGTCATCACCATGCTGATGGAGATTTTCATCACTGGTACCTTCCTGGCCAAGGTAGCCAATGCATAAAACATCCAGCTGCAAAGTGAGATCCAGTTAATAAAAAAGAGGGAAAACAGAGAATTTCTTTATAATACACATAGATTGATCCAGTTTTCATGAACATACAAATTAATTTGAGAATGTAAAAAAGAATTTATGTTTTAAAGCAGATGTGTGCTCTCCTACCTTAAATAACTCAAACACAACTGTATACAATTCCTTGCAGTGTGCATTCATCTGTTACTATATTGAGTGAAAGACTCTCTCTAATCAAAGATTATCAGACTGAAACTTAACTCACTGATCTTTCTCTGCACAGGTTGCTCGGCCAAAGAAGCGAGGCGAGACAGTGAAGTTCAGCCAACACGCTGTGGTGTCGACCCACGAAGGCCGACCCTGCCTGATGATCAGGGTGGCCAATATGCGCAAGAGTCTTCTGCTTGGGTGTCAGGTAAATGTATATACAGATAGAGAGTATAGATTAACAAATATTTCCAACATTTCTACATATTCTACTAGTTTGTCTAGACAAACTGACAGTTATAGTGATATATATATAGTTATAGTGTAATAGTGACAATACAGTAGGATTTCGTGTATATGAGCAATTTGTCAAACTGTGGACCCCAGGTGAGTGGAAAACTACTCCAGACTTCCCTGACCAAGGAGGGGGAGACGGTTCGTTTGGACCAGAGGAATGTGCCTTTCCAAGTGGACACGTCCAGTGACAGCCCCTTCCTCATCCTGCCCCTCACCTTCTACCACCTCATCGATGACAGCAGCCCCTTGCGAGCCTGGGCAGCCAAGGGTAAGTTTAAAGTGAGGGCAGGAGATTTGGTGGGTGGTGGTAGTGTTGCAAGTAAAAGAAGTCCATTGAACACTTTGGGCTAAAATACATAAGAAAACTCTTAGAAATGTGACACACAGCTCTACTGTACTCCCCATGCCCCATATGGCAACAAGGATGAAGGTTTGTGCAAAAATTAACAACGGAATAATATGATGTGATTGGTTTTTAAGCTCAATATGTATCACTGTGGTACGTACTGCTTCCCATGAATCCAGTCTCCCACTCTGAACCTGACAACTGCTATTCTGGCCAGGAGCCCTCCCTCACTTAATCCCCTGTACATTACCAAGCTAGCTACAAGGGCTAGCAGAGAGTTCCAACACAGATTCTCACAGCCCTGTAGGTAATGAAGGCTGATTTGTAGTGTGTTAAAGCTACTTTCACTCTGGTGTCTGTAGTCTTCAGAGATATGTAAATGGTACATTTTTGCTACCGTGCATCGCTTTTCATTGCTTGTGTGACTGTGTTGCTCAGGGGGAATCTTCTATGTTTACTGTAGGTGATACTGCCTTGCTATGCAGCAGTGTAAATGTTATGTATGACACTATGGGCTGTTAATATAAACCTGCTTTCTGCTAGCTACAGCAACACTTTGCTGTGAAAAGATTTGAATTTTAGCAATGAGGAGTTCATTACTGAGAAATGGTGTGACAGCATGGTAAACACCCACATTTCCTCTTTGAGCTCAGATGATGTGAACCATGTTCAGCCACTTGCTTGACTGACTTAAAAAACACTTGCTGCAAGCTGAGAGGATTTTCCAACTGTGATCATACCTTATTTCTTAAATTAATGTGGGATACAGTGATAAATAAATAAATACCTACTTCCAACCTGTATTCCTCTATTCCTTCCCACATCTCTAAACCCTTTTTCTTTTTGTCTGTTTCATCTCAGTTTTCTACTATTACGATAAAAATACCAATGAGTAAAGTCAGTTCATCTAGAACTCACAAAATCCCCAACCCCCTTTTACATCAGCCTCATGATATTTTTACATTTCCTATACAACAACGACAGAACTGGAGGAAGACACGTGAAAAAAATGTCACTTATGTTTATTATACATGGCACTCTAATATGTTAGGTAAAGCACTTTAGAGATTCTTTGACACAAGTGGAAAGCAGACAAACCTCAGATTTAATATACTGTGTTCTTATGTTATATATAACTCTTACTGCTGTTTCAAAACAGAAAGTTAGCACTTTATATAAGTAAATGATATACATTTGCACCTTAGGAAGGTTAGCTACCAATGTGTGGAACCTTAATATATGTTTTTAATACTACTAAAAGCAGTTATCATAAACTTTAAATACTTTCGCAAATACATCTGTTTGTTAGTGAGCAGTCTTCTTCTTCCCCAACTTTTAATGGTGCATTACTGTATTTCTCAGCATATTACCCCCACAAACAGTTGATCAGTGCAATAGCGTGAAGACATTGGCAGGAATATGTGTCGCCTATGGTCAAAAACTCCACAGAGTACCTATAAGTTTAGTATTTTTTAGTAATTGCTCCTTCCTCTCTCCCATTTTTCTTTTCATCTTCTGCCTCTTCTGTTTACACCCCTCTGTAATGTGCCATCTCCTCCCATCTCATTGACCTCCACCAGGTGGGGGCTGGACAGATCCAGAGTTGGCAGACTTTGAGTTGCTGGTGATCATGAGTGCTACAGTTGAGCCAACCTCCGCCACCTGCCAAGTCCGCACCTCCTACCTGCCGGATGAGATTCTCTGGGGCTATGAGTTTCCCCCTGTAGTCTCCCTTTCGCCATCAGGCAAATACGTAGCGGACTTCGCCTTTTTCGACAAAGTGGCCAAGACCAAGACCACCCCCATCTTCAAACCATCCAGCCCCCAGCATGGGTACCAGAGCAATGGGGGTGGAACTGTGCCTGAGGTGTCCGATCCTGAGAAGATTCGGCTGGAGCAGAGCTATAGGGACAGAGGGGAGGACCGTGGCCGGGTCAGAGACACTCCTCTCAGTGTTCGCATCAGCAACGTCTAAACTGCTTGACTGGTTGTGAAGGGATCGTTTCACAGTGAGCGATGTGCAGAACACTGATTTGCTCTCAATGTCACCGGCAAATCAATGAAACATTACATAAGAAAGATACAGTATCTATGTCCCAGTAGCACCAAATGATGTAAAAAGTGAATATGGAAGACTACAGACTATTGTTTGGTGAACTTCAAGTTTTGTCATGCTGACTGTTTGCTGGGATAATACATGTTTCACGCAGGTTTGACTGTATATGACAGCATAACTGCAACTAATGTATGTATTTTAGATAATATAATGTAAATGCTTTTATAACTAAGAATACAAACTTTTAGATTATTTATTCACACAGAGAAAACATAAAAACAAAGATACAAAGCAAAACAAACAGTTGTTTGTTTGGGTTCTCTCCAGAGAATGAAATGTCAGATCAGAAAGAGAAAAACCTACACACAAAAGTGTGAGTCCAATGTCAAGGAGAGATGAGTATCTGGGCGGCTGTGGCTTAGGAGTTAGAGTAGGGTTGGCCGTTAATCGGAAGGTCGGCGGTTCAATCCCTGGCTCCCCCTGGTTGCGTGTCGAAGTGTCCTTGGGCAAGATACTGCCCCTGGCGGCTGTTCCGCCAGTGTACGAGTGAGTGTGAATGTTAGTTTCCGTTTGAGCACTTAGGCTCAGTGTATGAATGTGTATGACTGGTGAATGCAGATGTAGTGTAAAAGCGCTTTGAGTGGTCGGAAAGACTAGAAAGGCGCTATACAAGTACGGAGCATTACATTTACATTTGGTGGTAAGGTTAGTATGGGAAGGGGGGCAAAAAAAACCATACAGGCAGTTTACTAAAGAAGGGTAGAACCTTTTATACTTTACAAATTACAAATTTTTACAAATAAATACAAATTTATGACAGTCAGATGACTTTAAGTTTCATCTCAGTTTTGCTCTATTATGATAAAAATACCAATGAGTGAATGATTTGCTTAGGCAGTTAATTTAGAACTCACAAAATCCCCAACCCCCAACTCTTTCATAACAGCCCAACAGCGGCAGCACTGGAGTGAGACACATGAATACAATGTCACTTATTTTTACATAGCACTGTAATATGTTAAGTAAAGCACTTAAGAGATTCTTTGACACTAATGAAGCGCTACAGGTGGAAAGTAAACAAACCTCAGATTGGATATAGGCTACTGTTCAAGGTGCTCGGTATACTGCATCTCTTGATGGTGTGGGCATTTCTAATTTTATGTTATGTATAACTGTTACTGGTGTTTCAAAACAGAAAGTTTGCACTTATATACAAGTACATGATGTATATTTGCACCTTAGGAAGGTTAGCTACCAATGTGTGGAACCTTAATATATATATATGTTTAATACTACTAAAAGCAGTTAGAATAAACTTTAAAAACAGATTTTTCCTTCCTACAAAGCTAATTGGAACTGCAGTTTTTCTGTCTCGGTGGCTTTAAGCAAACTGACAAATGAGTTACAAATGAGATAATGTTTTTAGATCATCACAAACAGCTATGCTGCATAGGCTAAATAGATGTAAATGATTATTGTAGGCTGTCTTCTGTACTTTCATTTTTGAGTTACTAACATTGTCAGATTAGGAGCCCCTTCTATTATTCAGTCTTGATGACAAAGGTATGAAGAAGACTTGTATTATGACTGCACAAGACTACCTTTGAGTGCTGAGAGATGAGAATGTGAAAGTGATGTTGTGAGTCACTGATAACGATTGTATTTGAATGGAAAGAGTGACATTGATAGTTAGACATGACAGATAAAGCAAGGACAAATATGATGAATATGAATATGTTGGAAATTGTATTTTTAACATTTTAATTAACATTAACATCAAGCTCTGGAATGTTAATATTGTTTAAGTGCAGATCTAAAGATCAAATGAGACAATGCTATGAAAATTTATTTAATAAAGCTGGTTATGAGTTATTAAAGGCCATGTTTTGTTTTGTGTCTTTCACTAGCAATTTTATTCTGGTTGGAAGCATGAACTCAGAGACTCATTCCTCCTGAATGCTGTATGCTTTGCTAAATCATCAGCCTTAGCTGTACTTACAGCTAAAGTCTAATGTCACTGTATTTGCATTGCTTCAACATTTCCAAAATGTTGCTATGCTAACATGTTAACATTAGTATTCTGCTTAGAGCACAAGCTGCAAAGTTGAGTGGAGTCATTAGCTCTTCATATCAGTATCACCCCAGCTACCCAACCACTCTTTGCCACATTGTTGTTTTAACCTCAGCACTATCATGGCCAATTTCATTCAGCATTCATTCAGTTTATGTCTGTAGTAGCGATTCATTCTCTTTTTCACACATTAACCTGTGTTTTCTTGTGTCCCAGTATAATCACCCGCCTGGCCATCTGCAGCCTAAAAAAATCTTAAAATCTTAACAATCTTAAAGGTCCAATGTGTAATATTTAGGAGGATCTATTGACAGAATTGCAATAAAATAAACATAACTAAATGTTTTTAGTGGTGTATTCACTAGCAAGGACCACACAATCAACAGTTATGATTAAATGATTTATTGATGACCGAAACAGAAGTTGTACGAGGTTTGCGGTTGCCGAAGAGACATTCGAAAGCGTTGTGGGGAAGCTACAATAGGGAAATCCGCCGTAGCACCCGGGCACGACGGACCCCCAAAAGCTTCTTGTTACATGAGAGCATTGGCTGATCTGTAATCTTTGGGATCTGAATGATTGTGATGATAGTACGTTTGGGAGGACCAGCAGTGCACAATATGTATCAGGTGCTCAGGAATGACGTGGAAGGCTGAAGGGGTAGCTCTGATATTGAAGGAGTGACCAGGGTAATGGACGAAAAGCATGACGAGAAAGAGTGCTTGGCGGAAGTGGCGGAGACGATCTAATGTGTTGTACTCTGGGATCCCAGAATTGTGATTGGTTCACGAGGGTCTTGCGAGGGTTCGGGGTCATGGACTCAGTGTTTAAAGGGAAATTAACCCGAGCGGGTGTGAACATAGCTTTTTAGGTTCGGGACAACTGAGTGATGAGATTATGTTGTACTAGTTGTGACGGTGGTGGGAGCTCTTCAAGGTGGCTTGTAGCACGAGAGAGAAGTATGCTGTTAATGTTAAGGTTTTGCGACCATTCCGCTGCGAACCATCTATCCTTTTAGAACCCCCAAAACCCTGGACTGGAAGCGAGCAATGGGAGGCTTTGGCATCCCGGTGCCGAAGCCCCTTCTAATTTGTAAAGACTGTTCCCTCGAAACGACTTTAGTTTAAACTTCTGTTCATTTGACCAGTGGCACAGTCAGGTTGGCGATGGCTGGGGTTATGGCAGGTTATGGCAGATTGCCAAAGCCCCTTTTTTTTGTTCGAACGACTGCTTGGCTTAAAATGATTTTAGCCCGGAAACGACTGTCGAAGGCCTTTTTGCTTGAACGAAACTGCTCGCTTGAGACAAATTTAAGCTCAAAACGACTTAGCTCGAAACGACTTTAGCTTGAAAGACGGTTTACTCAAATGATTTTGGGTTGAAACAACGGTCTGGATGAAATGACTGTTGGCTCGGTGATAGCTCGAAAAGCTGTTAGTTTGATGTTTGCTCAAAATGACTGTATGCTCGACGTGAGCTCGAAGCGACTTTAGCGCGACGTGAATGACTTTGCTTAGGTTGACTTTGGTAAAGGCGACTGTTAGCTTGACCTAAGCTCAAAACAACTGTTAGCTCGATGTGAGCTTGAACGAGTGAGTTTGAAGCGACTGAGCTCGAAACAACTTTGGTTTAAAACAACTTTGTCATATGCAATGACCGTGAGCCCGATGTGCGCTCGAACGACCATGAGCCGATATTGGCTCGAAACGACCGTGAGCTCGAGACAACCGTGAGCAGCATGACGTGACCACGAAACGAATGAGAGCTGGATGTTCGCTCTGAACGAGAGAACTTGAAGAGACTGTGAGCTTGAGACGACCGGACGATTTCAATTCAATTCAATTTTATTTATATAGCGCCAAATCACAACAACAGTTATCTCACAGCACTTTTCATAAAAGAGCAGGTCTAGACTGTACTCTATGATGCTATTTACAGAAGCCCAACAGTTCCCACCAAGAGCAAGCACTAGGCGACAGAGGCAAGGAAAAACTTCCTTTTAAGAGGCAGAAACCTCGAGCAGAACCATGGCTCAGGGTGGGCGGCCATCTGCCTCGACCGGTGAAGGAGAGAGAGAGAGAGAGAGAGAGAGAGAGAGAGAGAGAGAGAGAGAGAGAGAGAGTGAGAGGGCAGGAGAGGAACAGAGAGAAAAAGAGAGGGATGGAAGGAGAGAGAGAGGGGAGGAAGGCAGCCTACATAATATACACACAGAGGTACAGACAGTAAAGGTGATGTTGCTATGGACTAAATGAAAAATGGTACAGATATTTATAGTAGTGTTAATGGTAACAGTCGTAATGTTAATGATTATAATAACAATAGGACTAGTAACAATTCGTCGTTGCAAAGAGTCGTTGCAGCAGAGGATGTTGAGCAGGAACACGGGGGCAGCAGGTGACCCGCAGCCACAGGTCCAGACTCCACAGCTCGAGAGCCAGAAAACCTGCAGGAAGTGATAGGAGGAGAGAGGAGAGGGACGAGAAAGCACAAGACTAACAGAAAGGGGAGAAGTTGTGTTAGTAACATGCAATAATGGGATGAGGTTGCATACAGAGGGAGAGAAAGTAGAGGAGAGAGGAGCTCAGTGCATCATGGGAAGTCCCCCGGCAGTCTAGGCCTAAAGCAGCATAACTAAGGGATGGTTAAGGACTCACCTGAGCCAGTCCTAACTATAAGCTTTATCAAAGAGGAAAGTTCTACTACTCTTAAATGTGGAGATGGTGTCTGCCTCCTGTACCACAGTACTTTAAAGTAGCTGTAATTAAACCTCTTCTGAAAAAGTTGATCCGGATGTTTTAGCCAACTATAGACCTATATCTAACCTACTACTATTTCAGTAGATTGTCACGAGCCATGGATGTGGTTTTCATAAGTGTTTTCCGCATCTTTAGGACAAAGGATATAATGTTCATAGTCTCTGGTGTATCAGACTCCTCCCACATTTCACGCAGAACATCTAGAGGACCTCTGACCTGATGACCATAGATGAGCTCAAAGGGGGAAAATCCTGTTGAACTCTGGGGAACTTCGCGGTAAGCAAAAAGCAAAAATGGGAGCCACTTATCCCAGTCCTTTCCTGTGTCTGACACAAACTTTTTAAGCATACTAATTAAGGTCTCTGGGTTGTCATGGATTTGGTCCACTAATAAACTTGGCCAGATTTCTAGAAATGAGAGCTGCTCCTTCCTGTAAGGTTTAGCCCCATGGTGGAAGGAGGAGACATGGACATGAGTTCTTCACCTGGTGCTTTCATTTATTTTTAAACCAGATTCGTGGAAAGTGCAGTTGTGCAAGTGAGGTATTGTAAAAATATATCAAAAATTAACAAAAACAAACAACGAGAAAACTAAGTATATACTATTCAAATTATCATTAAAAACTGAGATTACACAAAACAAAACCTATATCAGCCCTGACTATTGGGCTCCAGCACCTGTGCACTTCCAGGCCCAAGCTGTTCTCTCCAGGGGGCCTCTGCCACCTTCCTT